CTGGACTGAGACAACTGAGTCCTGGACTGAGTGACTGGGTTCCGAACTGAGACAGGTCCCAAACTCAGACACAACATCTTGTGCAACAAACATTTCGTACGTGGTAATTACGTGATGAATTTGATAGTCACGAGCGCTTCAGAGCTCCACAATAGCTAATCCCAAAGTCAGCGATCGATTGCTCTCCCGTGGTTGTTGACTTGACACAAGCTAACCTCAATATGTTGACAAGTCAGTGGTTTGCCAAATATACTTATTGTTTTTGGAATAAAAGGTTCATGGTCATTATTATCAAACGTTTCAAGTATTGGCAATTGATATGACATTCCCATTTTGTGAATTCAGAAGATACTGGTATTGATAATAATAAACTCTCATACGTGGCTGTAAATTTCCAACTAATTTCAACGTCACATATATATTTCTCCTTGTTGTAATAATTGCAGCATAATCCAAGCAACAAATTCTTGATGTACAAAGCTTTACTTTGCTGGTGCTCGATCGGTTTGTTAGACATTATTCTACGGTCCAGGGTTTAAATTTAAAAAGTAAAAATTGATTACTTTCTACTATAATGTGGTAAGCAGATTGATGTAATAACGAAAGCAGACCCGAGGCGTTATTATTAAATGGTAATTGTTCGAGTAAGAATTGTATCTCTACATCCAATAATATTCTTAAATCAGTATCTTGCCTTCTATTGTTATTTGCAGCTGATGCTGTAATTCACATCTTTTTTTTTCTCGTATTATTTTAGGGTCAATTGTGTACTAAATTTATTTTAGCCATCGTTAGCTATACCATTTTTATCTCTGATCAGCGTCTTGGAAATTATAGCGTCGTTATTATTGCAACAGATGCTATATTGACATCTTTTTTCGTGCATCTGTTTTAAGGATAATGGTTATCCTACATCCAAGAATACATTTCCATATTTAATCAGCGTCTTGGAGATTATAGCGTCCATTATTATTGCTGCATTGGTATCTTCTTTCGTGCAATCTATTTTTAAAGATAATTGTGTAGCAATTTTTTCAAGTTCCAAGTATGTAATAATTTCGACTAGTTTACTTACAAATGAGTTTTAAATATTCATTTACATACATAGAAAAGACTGTTGGATAGTATCTCCTTGCTACCATAGCAAATTACCATATCAGTTCGAGAAGACAAATGTTATTGTTCTTATTTTTGATATAAAATTATTGCCTGCTCTCTATGTTTTAATTCTCATTAAAAATGCCGAGAAAAATTCTGCTGCCGCAAAGGTGGTATAATGATGGAATAGAAAGTCAAAGATGCTCTTTCAACTAACTTTGATATTCACTCTACTCGTAGAACATGTTTGATACGCAAAATGATCCAAGATCGATCGGCAAGGATAAACAACGTCCTTGCCGCGTTTGAACAAGTCCGTCAAGAAAGCCAGGTGAGTTTTATACAGTATTGTTAGATAGTACCGCAATGACAGTTTACTTATCATCTACCCTTTCTTTGTTTGTTTGGTTGGTTGGTTGGTTGTTTTTTGCAAACAAAATTTCTTAGTACAACTTGCTTCAAGCCCACATGCGCAAAGTGTGCAAGGTCAATAAGGCGGACGTAAAACAGGTACAACAATGCATGGGTGGATTGACGTACCATACTGAAGCCGTGCCGCCTGACGCTAACATTCCCAGGCCGACGCTTGTTGAAAAGGACTGGGCCCCCAATGAGCTATTGGCCTTGGGGGCCATATTTAAGTATCACAAGATCGAATTTTTGTATGTCAATAAGTATGGGCACTCAAGACGTCCGTATATATTCGGGGGGAAAAAACTTGATGAAATCATGTTTAAAATGTTTTAGTTGCTTGTTCTTCGTTGTACATAAGCACTGTTCAATAAATATCATTGCTACGTGCCAAACCAAACCACCGTTCACTTTGACATACAAAAAAGGCGTTACAAAATTTAAATTAAAACCTAGTTTCGCCATACTTTTATCGAAATTATAAATGTTCCATTTCGTTTGCGATAATAGCTGTTCTACGAGTACTAGCATAACTCCTTTCATTGCATTCTTCAAGCGCCTGTTATTAATTCGGTTTATCGCTTTCGTCATTTGATCTATTAACGAGGCAAAGTATCCCGAAAATGACAGCATCACAAGATCGGTAATACAAAGCCGTACACGGAGTTAAAACTTTTCATTGTTGCTTGTATTGGTCGCCAAATATAGTGTTTACGTTTGAAAGGTTGAGGAAATGATCAATGTACGTTTCACTAAAGAGTAGAATTCACAATATTGTGATTGTTTCAGCCTTTCTATTTACAAACGCATAATAACAGTAAAGCCATCAATGGCCACTGTATCGATCTGTGGGATTCATTACTCGAAATAGATCAAAATTGTTGTACAAAATATACAATTATCATGCGCAAAAAGGAGTTGTTTTTAAGACAACCAATGTGTGATTTTATGCACGTATCAACCAAATACCGAAATTGTGTAGCCGAGGACAAAAGTAATTATTTCCTCCTTTCTGTGCTGATATTATAACAAAGTAGAAAGGATAGCAATGATAAGTCGGCCGATAGTTATCCCCCCAAATTGATCATATATACCCAGCTGGGACTAGGTCAAACCTGTTATAGTTATGGATTCACCCCGTACCATCCGTTTTGATTTATGAAATTACGCAAATAGTCAACCTCACGTGATAAACATACTAGTCACGTTACTGCATTTTAAATCCCAGCTTTACGTAAGTTGTCGTTGCATATCGCTTGACGGCTTGAAAAAAAAAATCCCGATAATAATAATGTTTTCTGTTTCTCGCCAGTTTGCGTCCCATGCGCTACAACATTGTGCCGTTTGGTACTTCAGAAAAGAGTCGGCCCACTTAGTAATACGAAAATACCTTTCCACTAGTGATGGTACTATAACACAAGAAGACAAACAGGACCATAAGGTTAATCTCAATAAATCTAGAGTCTTACTCAATGAATTGACACAGTGGACGAATGAATTTAACGGGATGGAAGCAACTAATAAAACAGTATCCGTGTTAAGAGACCATCAGACGGAGGCTTATAATTATTTAGGGCAGATTTATAAGGAGTATATACAAGACTTGGAGAAGGAGATTGCACAACTTATAAAAGCATTAAAAGCAAGGGATGAATTAATACAAGATTTAGAATCAGCGAAGAAACAATATATAGAGTCATTAGAAAAAAATGACAACTTGTCTAAAATGTTGACATGCGAGTTGAATAAACATGCAGAAAAAGTTAAGCACATACAGGAAACGGCAAGATTTTTCAGACTTGGAAGAATTCGCAATGTTAGATCGGCTTTGGAATATGTTAGCAGACGGGTAAGGCCAAAATATTATATGTGCAATAAGCACTTTTCGCTTTAATTCATAATATTTTTACTTTAATAGATTCTTTTGAAGGATGGTAAGCCTTTCGAATCAGCCGAACCAGTTGGTATTGCGCTACAGCGATTGCTTGAACAAGAAGAGTTCAAAATAAAATTGCGTTGGCTATGCGAAACTTATTGCATACATACAAAAGTAGTAAAAAATTGTCTTGGTGGGCTTTATCGTATTTCATGTAAAGGAAAGCATGGTCACGGGCGTAATATCTTGGTTTATGCAAAATATTGGAGAAAAGAGGAGCTGTTGGCCTTGGGTGCTATATTTGAATATTTTAATATTAGATTTACTTATTGGAACAAGGAGGGAAAGGAGACGAGCTTTCCATATGTAGAAAAATGCAGATATCATCGTTAATAAAATCCAATCGTTGGTCATCTTTGATCTTACGTTGGTGACATGCTTCATCGCTCCCAAGTAATAGCAACATTAGTTCAACGTCATACTATGTTTCTTTTCAAACAGCGTAGTGAATAAAGTCAATTGAATTGGACCTGACTCTAGGTCAGTAATCTCTGAATAAGGAATTTATTTAAGTCAAAATTACAAGTCATCGATTAATAGATAAGACTACCCTTTTCAATGTTTCAAGCCGTTCGTTATCTTTCATTGTCCCAATACCTTGCTCGTGGCACCACCCAATCATACATTCCCAGTGTGCATTATTGTTGGCACTAGTAGTTCAACATTGAAACCGGTTTCTCAATCTCAAAGGAAAAAATTATAAAAAGTATGATTGTCCAAGCTTTACCGGTCGATGGAATCGAATCATTCGACTCGCGCCGAATGTTGCGACACTAGCATCTGAGACACATACTGGCCAAAAGTATTGGGTCACTCATTGAAATTTACTAGTAAAACTAGTAAAAACCTTTAATTTTGAAAACCTCTATCGTCCATGCATACTACACCGTTTTGAAACTAATTGATTGTATTTTTCAAAAAAATAATGACATATTTAGCTACAGTTCGATGTTACACATATGAAAATATATGTGTAAGATAAATACGCCACTTTATCGGGCTACTCCTTCATCTCATCACAATAGATAATTTAAATTTTACCCTATTTTTTTTCGAAAAATATAATCAATTAGCCTCAAAACGGTACAAAAATTACTGCGACTTACATAGTACGTATGTACAATAGAGATTTTTAAAATTAAAGATTTTTACCAGTATGTGTACTTTCAATCGTGCTCTCCATGACCCTAACACTAACCCTACCTAGTCACAATGGTCTTTTTTTATAAATAAACATGTATAACACATTAATGCAGTTGATTAATAATGTTTTGAAGAGCAGTGACAAGCTGACAATAGCATTTTAATTTTATCAATATCATGACAGTCTAACCAAAAAGACAATGATGAATTTAGTTCCATGCGTGCAACAAAATTACAAATAAACTTCAAAGTTGCTTGTTGAGCAAACAGTTGTTACAAAATTCGAAAATATCCAAAAATAATTATGTTAATAAAAGCAAAAGGCTGCATCTGCCTCTGTATGAATTCTAATGCTCACATTCTGCTATGATGCGATTATTATTATACATTTCAATTGCTTGTATATATTGTTTTTTCCTAATTTTTGAATAAGCTTATCTTTTTCTTTTGACTCCAACAAAAGTCTACGATAAGTGTGTCTGTTCGACTGCTGACCTATTTAAAAATTTTTCCAATGCCTTGATTAGCTGAGTAATTTTGCCATCAACTCTACTTGTCAAGTCAGTATTCTTCCCCCAATGACAAGTTCATTGTATGTGACAGTATATTTGATGAGAACATCATGATAATTTTGTTTGCCTTTTTTATTGAAGTATCTTCTCTAGTGTAAAGCTGGTTTTGCCTTCTGTGGTGTACCAAATTTTTACCAGAGTAAATATAAGTGCTATGTTTTAATATCCGAGATGATAACTGGTGAGACAAAGAGCATCTTTACAAAAACTTGTGTTTTTGTAAAATATCCTAATGAGGTTTGTGGAATATAGTGGTGATGGGTTTGTGATATTTATGAGTCAGCAATTTTCTTCCTCTTGGTACGAAGTTGTTCAGTTCCCAAGGTAGTTTCCCGAGAAATTTTTTGGTAATCTCGTGATGAGAGTGGAATATAGTTTGCGATCTCACTGATGTCTCGTGAGCATATTACCCGCTTCAAAATTAACCATCAATAACAACTCCCAAAATTTCACATTAAACTGAATACAAACTGAATAACAACAACTTTCTAATATCAATAAACTAACACTGATTCAACTGCTGTTCACATACATATCGACATTAAAGTCGAGGACAAAACAGAGACGAAACTATTTAAAGCGAATGGTGTCCTTCTCAACTTTGCCAAAGAACCAATTCGCGTTTACATCAAAATCTATGTACCAAAAAAAAATTCTGATTGGCTTGCAACAACTAACTGAATTCACTTCAGATGACATCCTAGAAATTACTGGGACAGTGACAAATCTCAGTGATCAAGTAATAATCATAGGTATTCAAACAACAAATTGGTTATATTTACAACATTTTTAACGAAAATCCATCATATCCACTGTAGGTAAATGCATTCGAGTGTCACGTCTCTGCCAAAACACCAAAATTAATGCCATGTTAATGTGCTTGTACTTGGCTACTACGAGTCATAATATGACGACTTCCACCGTAAAGGCTACTCAATGCGTTTCTGGAAGTGGCTCACTTCCAAATTGGCTGAATTCGACATAATTGTTTACCACAACGTATCAAAAAAATTTATAGGTTTCCATTGTAGGAGGATTGGATGTAAATTATGTCTAGAACTTCATAACTTCGAATATATATCAAATATCACCACCCCATACACTACATCCTCCACAACCTCTACATCCTCATTTTTTTACGCATCCTCTCCACATCATCCGCTTCAGAAAAGAGAGCTCTACTCTGCAGCTCTCTAAACAAATTTACAAATATAAACAACCAGCCCAAAAAGCTCAAGACGGTCGAAAATGACAACAAAGAAATAACTAACGAAACCCCTATCAATTAAACAAACCCTTCTCAATCCTGCCAACCACGCAAGACAATTACGCTCATATAACAAAATATCTGAACTTGCATCCGTAAAATTAAATCTCTTCCAAATATTAAAATAAATCGAATAATACGATTAGTTTAAAAATTTCCTTTATCAAAGAAATCTATTATAAAAGTGTTAATATGACGCATTTTGCTTTGCAAATCCGTACTATCAAATAATAAATCTTCACTATCGCAATATAAAAAGCACGAGGGGGGCGCTGTTCCCCCAAAAAGGTCAATTCTAGTTTCAATTCAAAAACGTCATAAACTATATTCACTAATACTAATCGAGTAAGTTGACATCGCTATTTGCATTTTTCTCGGTGAAACTCAGAAGCGCTTACGCACGTGCAGAATATGATGTGAGTATATTTGGTCGTTTTGTCATATTATAAAACTGGCGGCTAAGCTTAGACTTTTCGTTGGACTTGAACTTGGAACTGAGCAATTGGCGATGAAACTAATCGTATTTATACGCTTTTTCCGTTGGAATCATTGTGGACAGTTTCTAAATGTGTACCTTGTAATTTAAATACAACTTTTTAATTCTGCTACTATTTGACAGGGGATATTGTAATATTCATATCAAGACATATGTTTTGTGAATCTACGTTTTCGGGTGGATGTACGATGATGGCGTGTTGACTGTACTTATTGGAGACTTTAATTGGCAGCCCCTAATACTAACCTATAATCGATAAAGTACGATTTTGTTACGGCCCCTTAATTTTGATTATATTTACGTAATGATTTACCCGATTTTAATAATCCTAACCAAAGGTGTATGACGTATTTGGTTACTGCATGCGGCACAAAGTTGGCTTTTAGCGGCCAATTAGGAAATTCTTTTCACGTGGTCCAAGATCTTACAATAAGGTTCACGATCTGGGTTGCGTTTGATGGCCTCCTGCATTTAAGAGAACATTCCAATGTCTGTAATTATTAAACAGTTGGAAAAAACTATTATGGGTTTCAAACATCATGTTAAAACGTAAAATTTTTCTCGTAAACCAGTGGGTGAAATTGTATCTACCAAGCATCTAAAATTCGGTCTGGTCATGATCATGTTAAAGCATGTAGCAACAACAAATGTAACGAAATAAAACGAATAATAACCTGTTCTTTTACCTGTAGAGTTACAATATTTGTTCAAAGTTTTGGTCATCAACCGGTATCAAGAACCTAAAAGTAATTTTAAGGTAATGAATTCGTAGTGCACACACAATTGGTGCGTCCGAAATTTCTATTTTTCTTAAGAAAACTTAAGAATAAACTCTCATAGGGACCACATAATAATAAATTATAGCCACCAAACCTCAGAACAATAATTATTGCGACAGATTAAAATTAAAATGAAATTATCTCTATTTTAATATGAAAATTTAAAAAATTTTGGGGCAATTTTCTTGGGATTTGGGTTGGGATTTATCAATAGAAGAGTACGTGTATGTGGGTTTTAGAGGCATTAAAAAAGGATCCAAAAAGACCCCAAATTCTGTTTTAATCCGATTTAGTTTTAATCTGCCACAATTATTAAATCAGAGAGTTCTACGTATTTCAGTAGTTTAACATCGATGATGCAATTAATGCGTAGACATTATCTACTGCAATTGTTTTTGACTTGAATAAAATGCCTTCAATTTTATCAATTGATTTTGGTTTTAAATTTACGCTGTGCTCTCGAATATGGAGTGCAAGTGTATACAAATCCGGTGTAGATTAACTTGAGTTACTTGAGACTAACAATCTAATATTATCTATCGACCCCAATAAATGAATATAATAGCAATATCGCAACAATTTAAACAAAATAATGAGCAAAAAGAACACGTAATCGTTTATTATTACAATAAGTATTACAATCTTCTTCGTCAAAATGAAAATAATTGCCCGCAACCGCTTATTTTTCGTTAATAAAGTTAATAATGATACGTGAATGACTGATTGTCATCGAAACGCTATTAGGTGCGTCAGCCAGTAAGTGGTGGGTCCGGTTGTGGGTTAAACCTTTGCACATGTCTCGAAGTAAGAGGTGGGTCTGGCTGTGGGTTAAACCTTCGCACATGCCTCGAAGTAAAAGGTGGGTCT